TGAAACATATTGCTTCTAAAAACTATAATATTTATTTGTGAGGATTTATTAACCAAACATGAATAATATTACCCAAGGATTTGAAAGGAGTAATTAATATGCGTAAAATTAAAAATGCCTCCCTATAATAACTATATATAATAATAAATTTATTAAATTTATTGATCTTGAAATGTATTGATTTCAAAAATAATAAAAACAATAAACATTTTAATATTAATATCAATATTAATGAAACAAATACCTTGCTGAATAATATGATAAAAAACAAATACTCATTATAATGGGTTAAGAGCCACCAAAATTAATGTATATCAGTATTATATATTCTTTAACTATTACTTTCTTATAAACTTTGATTCTTAGCTAACTTCTCCAAGAAAGTGATGGAAAATGATGGAAGGAAGTTGGTAATATAAAAAAAAATGAAGAATATGGCTATAAAGTTGGTTTGACAATTTTGATAAAAAGTTTATACATCACATTAAGGTCAAACATCCAATTGAAAAGTACTTTAAAATTGCCATTACACAATATAAAAAAGATTGACATTTTAAGTCACATTTGTGATAATTATAAAATTCCACTATGCTGTTTTCCTATACTTTTCCATACAAAAATGTACAAATTCTGTACAGCTTTCCATACTAATACATTTTCTGTGCCAAATTTTTTATAGGGTATTGTTTTCTCTTTTAAAAAAAATTTTTAATCCATTAGAAGAAAGAAAAATATATTTATATTCAAAAATTCATCAACATGTTGATGAACCACATAAGGATATTTATTGTTCAAATCCGAATCCATATCTATAAAAATAATAAATTTTTTTTCTTTAATTGAGGTGTGCGCAAAACGATGATCATTTCTAAATTTGTCTAAAGGAAATTTTAATATAAAAAAGAAAACCCAATTGTACAAGATTTTATTAACAATTTTGGTTTTGGGACCTCGAAGCTTTGATTTTCCTAGTACAAACCCCATTTATGTTTTTTATAGGACTCGATTAATTGCGTCAAAAAGTCACCTGATTAAGTCAAGTGATCAACCTATTTCTACCACACTCCACAAAGTATGAAAGCTTAAGTTATTTTACATCTACTTGCCAATTTTCAAGACATTTACAGCAAATTTGGAAAGAAAATATTTATTTGAGTCATAACTTTACATAGAGAGTTCTTTTTGATATAAAATATTAATTAGAAAGCTTTAATGGTAGATAGAAAATTTTCATTACTTTGAAAATAAATTCGTTGATCTGCAAGTCAATAATCTTATTTTTTTGCAATTTAACATCCTTTGAAAACAGAAAGTTTAAAGATATTAATTCTTCTAGAGCTAAAGTTAGATCCATTTTATAATTGTTTTCGTGAAACACAGAAAAATTTACCAAAAAAAGATTTGAAAAAAAAGATTTTTGTTTGGCAATATATACATCCAATCCAGAATGCAAGTTGTCTGCGCATTTTGAACCCTTGTTATCTATATGAGGAAAGATTTTTTTTTAATTAAAAAAACTCTCAGGGGTCATCAATAATAACCATTAACATTATTATTTTGTAAAAAAATAATTCTTGAGAGAGAAAAAAAATTTTTTACATACCCCTGTTATATTTTTAAAAAAGATATAAAAATAAATTTTAAAAGATGCAAAAGTCTTCTTCACTCCAGCAAAACGATAATATTGCTAATACCACCACCACCACCACCACCGATACCAACACTACACAATCAAATTCCAACTCTTACAATCAACAACCTTCGATACATGATTCAAATTCTCAACAAACTACTCAAAGATCAACTTCTCCAAGACCACCAACTCTACAGTCTAAACAAATTCAACAACTAAATCAAACACAACAAAAACATCCACCACCAATCCTTTCACAACAACAGCAGCCTTCCATTATTAATTTTAACGCTTGGACACCGCAAACTGGAGTGTCGAGTGCTGCTTCAGATCCACCAATTATATCAAGAGTAGTTACTCAAAGTAATAGTAATAATTCCTGGTTACCTTCTCCTACACCTTTTCACGATAGCAATATATCATCCGATAATAGTCATTTGAATTCAAAATCTATAACCATTGCCACTCAAAATCCATTACAAACCTCACTTTCTTCTTCCTCCTCCACCTTTAAATATAATAACCAAGATCTAAAAGTTTCTTGTCTAACAATATCTGCCCTTTTATCACCTGACCAGCAAACTGAAAAACTCTTGAACGATCTAACATTAGAACAACTATCATTAATTGAAAAAACAATACAAAGAGTTAAAAAAAAAAAATCTAAAGAATCTAAAAAACAAAATAACAACAATTTTAATGCCACCATACCTCCATCAATTGAAGAATCCTCTATAACATTATCACTATCAACCAACGCCACTACTAACATTAACAATTCTGCAACTGAGGTTAATAAAACTAACATCAACGCTACTAAATCACAACCTTCTCAATTTGTAGTTCAACCAAATCATCATCATCTTGATGTAAATCAACCCCCTCAAGATCAGCATTATCAAAAATCTATCTACGCGCAAAATCAACACCATATTCAACTACAACAACATTCATCACAAATATATTTTTCACAATCACAACCTGAACCTGAAATTCAAGATCCTTCTCCAAGAAACTCTGATCAATTAACAATTGCTTTAGCTCCTAATCATGCATTACCAGCAACTGATCCAATCTTTGAAGTATGCGATGGTATAAAATGGATCAAATTTAGTTATTCAGTCAAAGGTCATAATAGGGATTATCGTATTCGTGTTGACATTGAAACCATCAACGTTAATGAGATGGATGATCAATTTAAACATGAAAATTGTCTTTATCCAAGAGCCAACTGTACTGAAGATAAATATAAAGGAAATCGTTGGTCATATGAAAATGAATGTAATGTATTGGGTTGGAAATTGGCATGGATGAATAGGGAAGAACTTAATGGGAAGAGAGGACTCCTTCAACGAGCTGTAGATAGTTATAGAAATCGTGATCCAAAGCTACGATCCCGGCGTGTTGTTAGAAATGAAAAAATCATGAAAGGAACTCTGAGAAAACGTAATGTCAGAGATGAAAGTCATGATGGTGGTTTATCAAATAATAATTTATCTGTGAAAAGACAAAGAGCAGGAAGCATCAAAGAATTAGTAATAGAATCTTATGTTCATGATAACTTGACAAAAATTAAATTACGTGCCGATGTCGAAACTGTTAGTTTGGCTGAATTAACTGATGATTTTAAAAAAATTAATTGTTTATTTCCAGATGCTGTGGTTCCTAAATCTGAATATCAAGGAACTAAATGGGAATTAGAAACAACATGTAACGAATTAGGATGGAAATTGGTAATTGAAAATTATCAATTATTGCATTTATATATATAGTTTTTTTTTCATATTTTTTCATTTGATTTTTAGGCACATTTAAATACTACACAACTTCATGGTAACAGACCATTACTTCAAACTGCTTTAGACATGTATTGTGAAAAATTTATTCCGGAATTTCGTCCAAGAAAATTAAAAAATTCTCATGATCTCTCTGCAAAATTTTTTGAAAATTATCCATGTGAAAATGTTGTTGACCCTACTTCAGGTATCCAAAAAACTCAAATTTATTACCAATAATGATGATAACAGTAATAATGATTTCTATTATTGATTCAAAACCCAAATCTTTTGTAGAAAAAACAAATAACGACAACAACACCACATTGCAAGCAACAACTTCTCCATCAGTCACAATTCCAAATGATTATGATTTGAGAACAAATTTAAAAGATAATAATTAATGAAAAACAATTTTAACAGTTTAAATATATAAATAAATATATAAATATTTTATAATTCTGGTGATAACGGCGGATTTTTTTATTTTATTTTAATTATTATTATTATCATTATTTCTGTTTTTTAGTTAATCGATG